TATACAATATCTATATTAGTATATTACTACTATAGTATATTAATATATTATTATTATTATTTTATTATATATTATAATTTATAAAATTTAATGTTTTAAAATATAATAAATTTTTTATATATAATTATTTTATATTATTTTATATTTCAAACAATAACGATTCGAACACGAACGAACGCATCACTGTTCGTGTTTGGTTCGTTTAACTAACCGAACGAAAAAAATTTGTTCGCGTTTGTCTCGTTTACTTATCGAACGAATCGAACACAAACTCATTGAAGAACCGAACACGAACTGTTCGCGAACAACGAGCTTTTTTGACAGCCCTACTCTCACCCAAGCACACATAACCGTGGAGGTTTGATGGGATCCGGTGCACCGGTGCGACCACCGGTGCTGGTAACATAAAATATATATTACTATAAAATGATTACAAAGTAATTTATAAAAATAGAATTATATGAATTGTTACAGCGTAAATATTCCTACATAATAATACATGGGAGATTTACTTATATACACTAAGAAGCTTTTATATTTATAAAATTATTTTTTTTTTTTTTAAATTAAAATGCTTCTATTTAGGTTTTTGCATGCCTTATGATGAAATCATTGTTATCAATAGAAATAGAAAAAAAAAATGAGTTAAATATATATTTATCATATAGACCGCCCAAAATATTGCTATTTACAAATCAAGCACTATTTCATCCATTTTTTCAAATTCTCGCTCAAAATATCAAATTCATGGTAAAACAGCAACCCATATTTTTCATTTTTTATCCAATTCTCATTAGTTTGATCGTGGCACACATAAATACGAGAAAATATTGCATCAGGACTCCGCTGGTAGAGTTACGTGCGGAGTTCAATGAAATCACATCATGTGGCTGTGACAGAATAAATAAATAAAATCTGTATGGGAACACAAGGGAATATTCCTCTCGTATTATTCAGGTGTTATTTAAGTGTTATTGATGTGTTATTGTGTTATTATAACACCGGGAATATTCACAGAACACAATAACACCTGAATAACATACAATAACACCTGAATAACACAAAATAACACGAGGGTGAATATTCTTCTATGTTACCAGACTAATTTTTTTTTCTGTTACCTCCACGTGGCATAATTTCATTGGATCTCGCACGTAACTCTAAGTGCGGAGTCCCGATGCAATATTTTTTCGCATAAATACATCAATCCAGTAGTTCCAAAATATCTACCGGGCGCTTAATTTGTAAATATCAATATTCTGGATTGTCTGCATTAACTTTCTCAATTTAAAATTATGTTTTGGGTGCATGTCATCTAAAAATAAATAATAAATTAAAATAATGCTAATCCAAAATCTCAGAGATGCTGCCATTTGTGAGCTCTCTAATAGTGCCTGTTCATAGATGGTTTTTATTTTTTGTTGGCCTTTTAGCCAAATAAATAAAAGTTAGATATGCAAACATACCACTTAATCCTTAAGTATTTACATATCTCACATCTAGTCTTTAATTTTTACATATATACCTGTTTATCTATGAATGAAATGATATATTTCACTTTTTAAAAATTAAAATGATGATACTTTTATCAATATGAAAGACTTTGGTGGTATAAATGTAAAAATGTAAAATTTAGATTTTTGTTATTTAAATACAACGAATTTTAAGCCTTAATTTATTAAATACATATTTTTATGTATTTTATTTACCTCGAAATTAATTCACTAACAGGTAATACAATATTGATGTCAAAAAAATAAGTTTTTACTTAATTTGGCATCCTATTAAGGGCCCGTTTGAGGCCCTTTTGGATTTTTTACACTAAACGTAAGTCGTGGGTCGACCCCCGTGGTTAACCCGGGGGCCGCGTTTCAGGATAAGTTGTTTATCCTGAAACGCATAAGTTGCCCCGAACAGACTCTAAGATTCATATCATTTAGATACATATTACATAACTCTTACATATTTGCATATTTAATACAAAATTTTCAAATTTAGAAGTGAAGGACTCAAATCTTTAATATTACATAACAATATAATTATTGTTTCTTTTTTTTAATTTTAATTTAAAAATTTTAGGTGTTACAAATGTAAATACATAAAAATTGGGCGGCATGTATATAAATTTTCCAAAGTTTTAAATTTTAAAATTCCACTTGAGTTTAAAATAATAGTTCAAATTGCCTCCGGACTGCTGCTGATCGTCTCCGTTATTTCAGAGCTGGAAGGAAAGGTAAGTTGAGTTTGGGGGAAGGGGGGGATGGAGAAGGAGTTAGTGGTGGTGGGTTGCACTGTAGGGTTTCTTGGTGTTCTTTCAGCTGCTCTTGCCTTCGCTGCGGAGGCTACCAGGATTAGGGTATGACTCTCGATCTCGCCTTTCTTTTTCTTTTCTTTTTCTTTTTTTTTTTCTTTTTTGAGCAGATTTGGGGGAAATTGATATTCGATTGTGGAAAGGCTGCTGTGAATTTCTCTAGTTTCGTGGTTTTTTTCTTTGATTTTTTATGGTTTTTTGAGCCATGTATGAAATTATATCAATTCTTTGTATTAATTGTTTCCTTTTCTTCTAGATTTTTTTTTTTAAGTTACTCTGCATATTTGATTTGGTTTTTGATGTGATCGCTGATAGGATAGGAATGTCTCTCTGTTCTTGTTACTGCTATTTGAGGATTTGTTTGGCATGCGACTGAAAACTTTTGCTAAATCCTGATAAAGAAGGACTTATTAGTAAATATTAAGAGGGTGTTCGGCTGCAGCTAGGGTTTAGTAGGATTTAGTAAATCCGTAAATCATGAATCCCTTAACTCCATTCATGTCCTGGATTTAGTAAATCCTGATTTAAGATGAAGCTATGGCGGTGTTTGGCTGCAACCTGAATTTACCTTAAATCGGATTTATCAAATTCAGTAGGTCTGATACTTTGGACTTAAATCTGCCTCACAATTAGATATAGTAAATCCGGATTTACATCGTAAAAGAGAAGGAACGCACGAAGAAAAGAGAGAGCGAAAAAATTTGATTTTTTTTTTTCTTATGTTTGGCTGAATTTATGCTAAATTCATGGTTAAATCCTATTTAAATTATGATACCAAATACCGCCTAAGGCGAAATTGAGGCAACGAAATCTGAAAATTCATAAATCTGCCAAACTCCTGTGTTTTACTATTTGGCTAGACTTAGTAAATCCGATGATAAATCCTATTCTTACATGAGATTTCCTCCATTCTACAAATTCTAATATTTAAAAACATGACAAACATATGTCCCGTCTTGTAAATATATTAATCAGCAAAAACAAATTTAGAGATTTAGGAAAGATGATTTTTTTATAATCTTAACTGATAGAATAAGTATAATTAGATTAATGAACTAAATATAAACATGTAGTGAACTGAATCTAGATAAAAAATTTCCTGCATCTTCACAGAGTACAAACCGTTGCACTTAATGTTAACGCTAAATGAATCTACACCAATAAATCTTGTTCCAGCTTCTTTTTCATTCTTGGTTCATTTCTTTCTGGATTATCAATATTGTCGAAACTTGTGCTTCTTTTTACATACGAACCTCTCAATTCCTAGGTATTTACACCTATCCTTTCCTTTTTTACATTTATAACACCCAAATTTTTTTATCACATTAAAAACCATTATTTTAATTTTAAGAAGAGAAATACCCCTTTTCAGGCACAGATAGGGTGGCATATATATAAAAATGGAAGTTTTGGTGTTAGATATATAGATACATAGGAATCTAGTGGTATGCAGGTAAATCTTCCTTCTTTTTTTAATTTCTTTAAAAAGCCACCTGTGTCTTGGTGCGGCGCTTATGCTAATCCCCTGCCTATTTATTTCATAAGGAAAATCATTGTACAAATATTATCTCACCCAAGGCTACAAATGTCAGACCAACAACAACAACAACAACAAAGCCTTAATGTCACTACATGGTCGGCTACATGAATCCATTTTCTCCAGTGCGTCCTATTTAGTGTTATATTTTCATTTAGTTATAAAAAATTAAGATCATTTTCTATACAATAAACCCAAGCCTTCCTAGGTCTACCTCTGC